AGGGGGCTGAAGAAGAAGAAGAGGGGTGGGGGTGGGGGGCAGAACGGGGGGAGGGGGCTGAAGAAGAAGAAGAAGAGGGGGTAGAACGAAGGGGGTAGGGGCTGAAGAAGAAGAATGGAGTAGTATTCTTTATTTATTTATTTTTTATTTTTTATAAAGAAAAATCATCAGCTCACGCACCTAATGTGCGTGTAAATCACTTATTTTGTCCAACTCAGCCATATCAATGCCACATAAGCTTGGTCAACGGTCAGAAGGGTCCAAAAGTCTTGTTTTGATTAAGTTGAAGTGTCCAGATGAAACTTTATAGAATGTAGGGACCGGGATGATAAACCAGAACAAGTACAAGTGTCTCCCAGGCTATTCTGTCTATTTTCTCAAGTACAACTATTGAATATCTTATTTAAATGTTTTAAGCTTTACGCATTATATACGGTTTGGATATATGTCTTAAGATTAAAGTATGGTTTGGTAGAAAGCTGAAAAGGTATGAGTTGATTTTTGCATCCCCGTAGGGCGCCATCACAAGAAAGTTACACACAATTGTGACAGAGTGAGATTCTGCTACTTATTTACAGTAGGAAGATTCAGATTGTCTAGCATTCATAACTGACGGGATGATGTCCGACTCTTGTGATGTACACATGATGCGGATGGCTACCTAGCTGATTGGGTTGGGATCAGACTATCGGGTTAGAACCCCCAATAATATGGTTTCAAATATTGAGATGCGATTATCCCCAGATACAGATCAAGTGCAGATTTCAAATTCAGATTAATCAGATATCACTAATGCAAAAAAAATTTTAGTACACATTGTAAATATTTATTTTTGAAACTAGCAATAAGTAACATTTTTCTATTTTTTGTTCCAATAATTATAGAAGGTTAGTCGAGTGCTGCAGCAACGCCTAGTCGTCCCTGACCACATTCCAGGTTCTAGCTTTCGGGAGTTGGTACCTCCTGTTCACCTATTCGACTTTTTTGTCTTCATTCCCTGTTAAGTAATTAGTTTGCCCTAGATTTAGCACATTATTTGCTTGGTATTTCGTCCCATCTCTTAGTGTCTTTAAGTTTCAATCTGTATTACAGTTTTTAGGCTCTTTGCTTGATTATAGGGCTAGTCTAGCTTAGTTTTCCCTAGAGCATAGTGGCTTTAGTGTTAGATGCTAAAGTAATATCATGTCCTTGGATGGGGCAGGAGGCAAGGGCGGTAAGGGGGCAGGGAAGCTTCTAGGTGAGGTTTGGGTCCTTGAACATAGAAACTTTGAGGGGAAAACCTAGAAAGTTAGTAAAGATTCTCCATAAGAGGAAGATCAATATAGCCGGTGTCCAGGAGACTAGATTGTTGGGAACTAAGATACGAGATATAGACAGGTTTAAGTTGTTCTAATCAGGAGGCATGAGGGGCACGAACGAGATAGGTATCTTGGTTGATAGGGAACTCAGGGAGCAAGTGATAGAGATTAGGAGGGTGAACGATAGGCTAATGTCCATTAAGTTAGTTGTCGGAGGGCTTACTTTCAATGTTATTAGTGCATACGTGCCTCAAGCGGGCATAGGCTGTAACGACCCGACTGCTCGTTTTGCTTTCTAGAATCCCGTTCCCCTAAATAAGACTTCCCGTACGTGCTTTTACTGTTTCATGACTTGCGGGGATGGTTAGTTCGGGATTTGGAAGGGTTCGGTTGAAATCGGAATACTTGGTTCCTTAACGTTAGCTTAAAAGGCTAAGTTTGACTTTGGTCAACATTTTGAGTAAACGACCTCGGAATCGAGATTTGACGGTTCCAATAGGTTCGTATGATAATATCGGACTTGGACATATGTTCAGATCGGGGTTTGGATGATCCGGGAGCGTTTCGGCGCCTGATAGTGAAAGTTGGCATTTTGAGCAAATTCCACAAGTTTGGGTTGAAATGGATTTTTACATTCTAGATGTCCGTTTGGGATTCCAAGCCTGGAAATAGCTCTGTATGGTGATTCTGGACTTGGAAGCGCGTCCGAAAGTGGAATCGGAGGTCCGTAGGTCATTTCGGAGTCATTTGGCGAAAGCTAGAAATTTGAAGTTTTGGGAAAGTTTGACCGAGGGTAGACTTTTTGATATCGGGTTCGGATTCCAGTTCCGGAAGTTGGAGTAGGTCCGTAATGTCATTTAAGACTTGCACGCAAAATTTGGCGTCATTCCGAGTTGATTTGATAGGAATCGGATGCACGAAAGTGTTTTTAGAAGTTTTTGAGTTCATGAGTAAATTCATGCGTTTTGACGTCCAATTCGTGGTTTTTAATGTTATTCCAGTGTTCCGATTGCGTGAGTAAGTTTGTATGATGTTGTTAGACTTGTGTGGGTGTTTGGTGTGGAGCCCCGAGGGCTCGAGTGAGTTTCGGGCGTTCGGAAGGAATGAAGACACCTCTGTTTTCTGGTGTTTCTTGGCACTAGTTGCAGGTCTTGCAAATGCGAGAAATTATTCGCAAATGCGAACCTCGCATTTGCGAGAAGGGCTTTGCAATTGCGAATGAGCCTGACCTAGGCAGTGTTCGCATTTGCGACACAATTGCCGCAATTGCGATCCTAACAGAGTCCGCATTGCATTTGCACCTCAGCAGGACTTTTGTCGCATTTGCGAACCTGGTGTCGCAAATGTGACATCAGAGGCATGTGCCCAGCTCATTTAATGCAAGACTTAGGCCATTTATCTCATTTCACTTCCTCTTGGGCGATTTTCGGAGCTTTTGGAAGAGGGTTTTCACCTATCACTTTGAGGTAAGTAATTTCTACACAACATGAGTTAAATACATAGATTATGGGTAGATTAACATGTGAAAATAAAGGGTTTAGATGAAAACCTAGGTTTTTGATAAAAATGAGATTTGACCACGAAATTTGGTTATGGAACTTAGTAAAAATCATATATTTATGTTCCTAAGGTTATCGGTAACAACTTTCTTCGAAAATTTTCGAATTCCGGGCACGTGGGCCCGGGAGTGAATTTTAGGAATCTTGCATTTAGGGTTGGGTAACCACTTAAATAGTTAGAATATGAACTTTTAAACATATATTGATTAGTTTTTTTTACACTATTTGAATAGTTTTAGATTGTTCGGCACCGATTTGAGGGTTTGAGCATAATCTTGGACCAGAAAGCAGGCCTTGAGACGAGGTAAATCTCTTTTCTAACCTTGTAAGAGGAAAATTTTCCCATAGGTGAACTTAATTGATGTGTTATTATTTGTGGGGCCTACATACGTACGAAGCGACGAGAGTTCGTACGTAGCTACTATTCCTATTTATGTCCGGGTAGTTTTAGGCTTACACCATGCTTTGTGGACACCGTTATCTAATTATATTTGTTAATTGTATCAAATGGAATTAAGTTGAGGATTTAAGACTTCAAAAGCTAAGTTGAATTTCCTTTATTTGAAAAGAATCGACCCCTCGTCACTACTTCTTCGAGGTTAGACTAGATACTTACTGGTGCATATTATTTATGTACCCATGCTACACTTCTATACTTGATTGTACAGGATTTGAGGCAGGTGCATCTGGTTATCAGTCCGGCGCACATATTTGATCCCCATCCCGAGACTTCACGGTGAGCTGCCTTCCGAGCCGTTCTGCAGCAGTTGGAGTCTTCCTTATGTTATATTTTTCTGTCTATTTCCTTTCGGACAGTAGACTAGTATTCTTTTGTATATTCTACTAGAATGCCCACATACTTGTGACACCAGGTCTTGGCGCACACACTAGTAGAGTTACGATTTGCACTCATTTGTTTCTGTTTAATCATTTTACATTTGCAAATTTCTAAATCTTGTTAACAAATGCGGAAATGTTATCCACTTTGTAATTCGTTTAAAAACGGAAACCACTAGTTTGATCAGTGTTGGCTTGCCCAACAACGGTGTTGGGCGCCATCACGGCCTATAATGGAATTGGGTCGTGACATAAGCGAAGAGGTCAAGAAGCGAGAGTCGCTTCTGGGAAAATTTGGATGAGGTTGTGCATGGTATCCCCCAGACCAAGAAGTTGTTCATACTTCATAGGAGGAGATTTCAACGGCCACATCGGCACGGCCTCCAAAGGATATGACGATGTTCATGGCGACTTCAGTTTTGGTGATGAAAATGAAGGAGGTACTTCGTTATTGGATTTCGCGAAAGCTTTTGAGTTGGTGCTAGCAAGTTGGGAGCCTTGAAGGGTTGTGTTTGTTAAGCCTAAGATCGAGTTGGGAGCCTTGACTAAAGACAAAGCTCAGGAGTTGGAGGAGAAGCTGAGAGCTATGAGGGCCTGGAAGAGTACTGGGGACGTGAGTAGTATATGGACTTTGACAGCAAAAGCATCAGGGAAGCAGCTAGAGAGGTCTTATGGGTCTCGAAAGGCTACGTTGGTGGTCACAGAGGAGATGGTGATAGAATAGAGAGGTACAAGGGAAAGTGAAAGCAAAA